AGTTGACTCCATTTTATCGTACTGACCTTGGTGGTCGTTTCGAGGGATGACCATAAATATTTTTTTGAGCCAGCTAAGCTCTACTTTCGTTCACTACATACCAGACAGTTCTTAGAATAACTTCATGAATTCTGTGGTCACCCCTACGACATCTACTGCCGCCAAAATGGATGGAATATCAAAGGCATAGCAACAACCCCTTGTTATGATAACTCGTAACGTTGAATTTACTACAGCTGACCTGGCAACTAAACGGGTCACGGAAAGACATTTCCTTGAACTATACCCCTCACGGGGAAGAAGGCATGGCCGCACAGATGTGTGGGCCAAAGAAAAGATACACAAATTGGAGTGGTGAATGGGGGGCACCGTTGGGTTATACGAATGCTTCAAGGCCTTCCTTACACTGCTCAAATTCTACTAAACCAACTGCTCGCATTGCCGAGATAACGGGCGCTCATATTATAAGGTAAGGTTATAAAAACCATCTTTTAAGATCAATTTAGTGAAAGTTTCATCCTTCAAGGCATACCATTCACTGCTCAAATACTAAACAACCTGCTTCCATTCCCGAGATACAGGGCGCTCATATTATAAGGTAAGGTTATAAAACCACCTTTTAAGATCATTTTAGTGAAAGTTTCATGTTCCTATCTCATAGAATTTAAGAACAATGATGAATAAATCATTTTCGAGCAAAATTTAAATGGCCGCCTGAATATATTACCGCCGGAGACGCGGCCGCGGAATTTAAATAACCGCGCCAAAGGGTTAAACAACGACAGTGTTTTCTTAATTGTACTAAGTGCCTCTGATGATGGTTGCGTCTAACCGAAACATGTAAGGCAGAAGTGATAAAGAAGTGACCTACAAATTGTTACACTCGACGGACTTTCTATTAACATTGTGATATTTCTCCCTTTTTGAAAAAAAGATATTCTTAAATATATGTGTAGATGTAAAACTACATACTTTCCACTTATGACAAAAAGAAAGAAGGCCTTCATGGCACCTATAACGGTATATTGTGACATCAATTCATCACACAAAAATGCAACTCCCAATACTCACCCAAAAGTTTGATATAATTCTCTATAAGTGGACGATCTTTACTGTCTTGTAATGAGAAATGATTCTTCAAACACACTTGGAGCTTCTGAAGTCGACGCTCTGGATTCAGTGTGCCACAAACTGAAAGCTGGAACTGCTTCATCTAGTATACAAAGTTGAAATAATACCGATTGTTAGCTTCTCTTACTGATAAATGGGATCAGTGCCATCAGTATATAAAAATCTGATATTGATTTCGTAAATAACATCATAATGCAGATCCTGTTTCTGCCTGGCATCGGCTACATTACTGACATTTCAGAGATCCTTACTGTCTCCATCTTCAAGGCAAATACAACCAACATCTACACAATGACATCACCCAGAAAGAGGACCCACATTAGCAAAGAACTACCACAGTACAAGTATAACAACATTATTTTCTGCCTTCTGCATTATAAACTATTGACATAACTGTAGTTGTAATATATCAATATAATCATCATCTCCATGATGTGTATTTATGCTAACCGTCTTACAGTGCACACTTTTTATTTAATTTCACCTTTCTCTTCACTTTTACACTACATGTTTCAGCTCTAATGTGCCATCTTCAAGTGTGTCTCTATGCATGTCAAACTACTGCACTGCATGCCATGACGTCTTCATTCTAAAATGACTAAAATGTGTAATCGTCATGTATAACAATAAATTCTAAATATTAAAACTTTTCAGGATTCGTCATCCATACGTCGTATTTTAAATACACGAATCACGCCAATACTCCTATATGGGAGCACTCTTCCTACATTCATGTGTATTGTGCTCTGTGTTGTGTCTTGCTCCTGTGACTGCGTGTGTTGTACTGCAGTGCGGTAGTTTGACGTGCATAGAAACACACCTGAAGATGGCACATTAGTGCTGAAACATGTAGTGTAAAAGTGAAGAGAAAGGTGAAATTAAATAAAAAGTGTGCACTGTAAGATGGTTAGCATAAATACACATCATGGACATGAACCAGTGCAACAGGACGCTAAAATATAACATTATAATCATCATCACTCCACGAACACCCAGGCAAAGAGACAAAGACATGTAATCCTCGATTTACATAGAAGTTGTGCTCCCTAATGTAACAAAAGAAGTTTCAGAGGGTCAAACAACATAAATCAATCATAATTTCCCTGCAATAATCAATGGAAATGTTTGAGATTTGCTACAAAAAGCATCAGAATATTCTTGATGTTACTTAAACTCACTGTCTTATGCAGTGCAGTACATTCTTTTCTTATTTTAATGATATTGTGGGATGTAGACCTGTTGCTAGGCAACAACCGTGAAATAGGCAACAATACAACAGCCACTGCTAAGTGATGGCTCCACAAACAAGCATGTTTCTGTGGCAACAATTGCACTACAATTGAAGAACAGTGTTCTCTATGCAGTCTGTGCTGAGATGTTATAGGCAAGGCCTAGCTGTTGTAGTGAGTTAGCCATCAGTTGGTTGGTTGACAATATTTAAGTAGTTAGGTAGCAGAAGTCCATGTATATACTGAAGACCAATATGTAGTATCTAGATTTTACACTTGCTTCTTCCTTATGTGCATCATACACATAACTTTCTTTCTTGAGAGTGAAGTGATTACTTTGTTTAAACTGTTTAAACCAGAACTCCGACCCCCCCACACACGCACACGCACGCACACACACACACACACACACACACACGCCCCCACACGCGCAAGCGAGTGCAGGGTTGTTCACAAACTTGCTCTAATTTGTATCTTAATTTATTACACTTCAGCAAAAAGCATACATGTCATTACATCATATTTCACTGAGAAATTTTATTAGTATTTCTAATAATAAAATATGTAGTGGTTCACTTACTGATGCTTCTCTACTCTCACCAAGCATCCTAAAAAAGGAAATACCATATTTAAAAAAAAAAATTAGAAAAGGTTAATTGATTCCATCCAGTGTGACTGATGAAGTTTTCCTTTACAAACTTTTATACTTTACATGTTTCGGTCTTATAGATCATCTTCAGTCACACTGGACGGAATTAATTAACCTTTTATAATATTGTTAGTGTGAAGGACCAGGATGAAACAAATAAAAGAAATTAGATCACAGATCTGACTTAACTATTATTTAATTTCAAAAGTTGCCATTGCTAAGATGAACTGCACAATCACAGAAATACACATGAAAGCCATAGCAAATATTTCCATCTTCTTGCCTGTGTGAACCCAATGAGAATGCGGCAAAATGCCACCCCAAACTGCACCAGAACCACAGACTACCCCCCCCCCCATCTGGCCCATTCACCATGTTACTCAGACCTCTGCACCCAGCAACTTTCACCTCTTCACACTACTGAATAAGCACATAAACAGGAAGCTGAGGTGCACTGGTAGATGCAAACTACGAACCCTGATTTATTAACTGTGGGAATCAAATAGGCAGTGTATCATTGGGACAAATGTCTCAATTGTTCTGGTGATTATGTGGAAAAAAACAGAAGGTCTGTCCATTAGTTCCACTACTTCTTGTTGTGGTTGCTATGACCAAGACAGCTCAGACTCCTTTTCCTTCCTGGTTTCCTGCTGCCATGGCAGCCTCTAAACTTATCTCTGCTTTAGTTCAGTCTTCAACCTTTGTTACTTCCAGGATTTACTGATTCTAGTGGACATAAATAATAAATACCAACATAAACATTCCTGGATGCTACTTACTCAACAACTTATGTATGAGAGTGCAGGATGATGGTGTTACAAGGGCCACTAGGAAATAAGAACTGATATTTGTTGCACTGTCACTTACTCCAGCAGATCAGTAAGTTCATGGAGCTGTAATCTTGTAGACAGATACTGACAGTACTGGCCGACTGCTTCCGGTCGTGTCCGCAACAACTGATGGACAAGATTCTTCTTTAGTGTACGTACAAGGAACAGCACTACCTGCAAAAAGAGCTCCATCAGTCATACCCAGTTGTGGCAATCTATCTCCTATCAAGATCAGTTGCATTTGGACCCCACATAACTCTCAGTCTCTTACAGTTATCTATGAAAAACTTATTTAAAATCCTTCTGAAGAAATTGGACAGTCATTCTCCTGGTGAACAAATTCTCTACCCTTTATTAAAAGAAAAATTTTCATTACTATGCTCACAAGAGTTCGTCAATACATTCTATCCCAAGCCACACGAATCCAGTCAACATCCTATTTCCAATCAGTTTTTAATATTGTTGCATGTTTCCTAGGTAACATGACAAGTGTTTACATGGGTCTTGGATTTGAACAAAGAGTTATTGGACAATCACTTTTTACACTCACAAATACAATTATTCACACTTATAATATTGTAACGTGTTTTCGTTACAGATCCCACTTCTGACACCAGTGCAATGTGTTTACGTTACTGAATAGGCCATAGAGATGGTTAACTGGTTTATTTAACAATCTACAAATGACGGCTACAATTAATTATCACAACATTACGGGTTTCCACACTTTACAAACCCTAGAACAAAATCTCTTAACACTCTCTTTGAGAGTCTTCACGTACTAATAATGCGGGAGCTATACAAGTCTCCCTGAATTACATACTCCAGATATGACTGGTGATCACTGGTTATCGCACACGCGGCTGTTATGTTTCAACTCGGCGACTGTTACTTTATAACTGACTGTGAATAGCCTTCGCTGTTCCTTATGTAGCCTCGATCGGACAGTCGTCGCCTGGTGCCTTGTTGCTAGCCACGCTGTCCGGAGTTGTTGACGGCTGCCTAGTAACCGCTGTTGATTCGCCTTGCATAGTTACCCGGTTGCGGGGGCTCGGCTATCTTCGGCTCCGCTCGGCTCTCTTCGGCTCCGCTCGTGACGTCACCGCGCATAGCTGCCAGGATGCGGGGTGATCACTCGCCTATTACGCGAGCGTTACGTTACCGCTGAGGGGTGGGAGGGGA